TCCACTTACCCGATGTTGTTACATTAATATTAGGGTTGGTTCACATTGTACGAATTGTTCTCACTGTACATCTTAACAACCATACTTCTTAATTCTTATTCGTACAACAACTACTGCAGTAAAAGCGGTTGGAAAATATATTTATCCGCATAATCTAAAAATAGGTGATAAATAGCGAAATGATTTGATATGTTGATCAACTCTCTGTATTGACTTGTCTATGAAAAATAAATCTAAAATTTACAATGTTTTTGACCATTAAAGCAAATAATTAAACTCACACCAACACTGTGTCGCACTTTTAGAAGTATTAAAGTGTAATTAAAAAATATAGACACCGACGGAATTGTATTTTTATTTTATGCGATAATTAAGATAAAATTTTAATCAAAAAGACAAGAGAGAGAAAGTACGTAATAGAGAACAAAGTAGATCAAGTTATATTAGTGTATCCTTAGCGTTACTCTATGGATACACGCGAACTTTTTCAATAAAATGGTGCTCGTAATAGGGAGTGTGCGCTTAAACAGGTTTATTGGCGTCCATTGAGTATTATTGCAACAATCGCAATGAAAATAATGACCATCCCGATTCCACATCGAGTGTTCGCTGAATCTCACAATAAGTTTTATTATCATGAGTCTACTTCATGCATATATTCTTTGTACAAAATTATCACTTCCAGATTAAATGGTGAAGTATATTTTTGACATGCTTAAAAATATTTTATCTTTAAATTAAAATATTCTTTTTCGACAAGCTTGATTTGTTTTCAATCTTTTCATTGCTCGTTGTATTATTTATTCTTCAAGAGTGGAAAGGTCAAATGTTTAATAGCAAAGATTTAGTATTCTTATATTATGTACATGAAAAATACTGTATTGAAACGAGTACTTGTTTAACTTGAACAACAAAAGATCGCATTTATATATTGTAAACCGGTAGGTAGGTGAGCCCAATTTATAGAAATGCCTCTGAAATATTTTTGGTTTTTTATAGTAAATACATGTTATGTAGATACGAGAAGCAAACGCTGCAGGATTTACCTACAATTTTAAGCCGCAGTACACTTAGATATGACGCATATTTGTACGTCCGTTTAAAAATGATCAACAAACCGAAAACTTAATATTGAAATTCGTGAACTACATGCAATTCTTTTGAAATTGAATTTTCATACGTTATATGAGCTATTTTCTGGAACGGCTTTGTGTGTCTGTTGGGAAATCTTTAACAGAAATTGTTTTGAAATTGCCGCTCGAATTTGACTGTCCTCTAGAGAAGAGATTAATGTGAAACAACTCTCGTATTAAATAGCTCTTTGATACGCATTGATTAAGGGTTAGTTTAATTAACTGTTTTTTTTTTATTTATGGTTTAAGTATCATTAGTCCCGATGCGGTAATTTCCCTTATGTGGTCAGTTTTCCATTTTTTCGCGGTTGCCCCCTGCTTAAGATTTTTTCTGAGCTAAAATGAAACCTAGATTTAGGTTTCATTCGTCAATCTAATATAATAGACAACTCCTAGAGAAATTGTCTTAATCTTGTACAATACGAGTATTTCCACACACACAAATTAAAGCGCATTTAAATAGCAAAATAAGAATCGTTATCAGTAATTATTAATATTAAACGCATTTATTTCGCTGATCATAACATATACTCGCATGGTAGATCTATCTATGTAAATATATGAAATAATAATAAAGTTCCACAAGCTCCGAGTGACTTGGCAAAACAAACATGACTGATCCGCGACAATCCCCGAAGTGTTAGAGGATAAACTACAAAGTTTCAGAATTCCGCGCACTGTGAACTAGCTAACTCCGTTACCGCGCATTCTGTTCCCGCCTCGGTCTCGCCTTGCGCAACGAAACTTCAGAATTAACACTGCGACAAGAATTAATCAACTCTAAGTACAACTATGCACGTCATAAAGTAGCAATATATTTAATTTTATGCCATGTGTATTTCATCAATATTTGGAATATTATATTTGACTAGCAACTTACCTAGCTTCGCTCAGGTGCCTCTCAAAGTTCCTGACAGCCTGTCATAGGTAAATTACTCCAGATCATAGGTTATTTGTATACTAAATCCTTCCAGCCGTTTCCGAGTAACAGCCATACATACACATACAAACTTTTGCAATTTTTATTTTTTTATTTTAATCGATTATTTTAGGCAATATTTACAATAAGATCTTAAATACATATGTAAACAGAGGCCCATAACATATAAAAATTACAAACTAACATATAATAATAGTCCAATTTGTTTTGTAATAGATATTATGTACCCACCTACAACAACAAAAAGTGCAACTCATAAAATAAAATTAGATTGAGAATATTAATTTTTTCAGGATAAAATTACGATGCCAATTCTAAGAATAATCGTAGTATCCTTTATTTACCTCGAAGCAGTACAAGTGTAAGTCGTGATCTTCAAATTATTAAATTACATTTGTAACCCAAATCTCAATTAAAATTAATTAAGGATAATAATTTTAATTTAGTTTGCTATTATTTAAAAAGACAAATTACTAAGTAACACTATTACTATATACTTTTACAAATGAAAAATGAAAAATATTAATCTGATATGGTGTCATTCTGATCCACACAGTAAGAACTTACTACATCTACCTGTTGTGTATGTGTTATGTTTAGATTTATTATTTGATTTTATTATATTAATAACAGGATCCCATGACGATGGTAGTACCCAGCTATCTTATAGAAATTTGTTTTTTAATTTCTATGGCAATAATTCCCTATTGAATTGAATTCCGCATAATACCATAGGTATATTATTGAATTATGGTTTCTGTGGCAAACTACACATTTTTCAGTATAATATTTAATAAAAGAATAACTCACTTGTTGTAAAGACCCATGTTTCGACACATTTTTTCATACATGAAAAGGACGTTCTTTGTGTTTTTTTTTATTGTTAAAATTTTTATAATTGAAATATATAAAGTCGGAAACATGTAAGACAAATTACATGTAGTAAAGCTACAGTAAATCAGATCGAAAAGACCGTGCCAGGATCAAGCGTACTCATTGAATTATGATTAATTGGGCGGAAGAATACCCTATAATATGCTATGGCGTTGGCTGTCGTCCAGAGAACGATGATTTTGCCTTGAAAATGTTAGTTTTCATTTTTCTGAAATATCTATTCGTAAAATAATATATAATAGGATACCTATACTGTAAATAATATTTTTTCGGCCTCTACTTCTTGCCATTTATAATAGGAAGCGTGATATCAATACTAATTACATATAATTTTCCCTCAACTTATTAGGTATATGTTTAGGAAAAAATTAAAATTATTAAAGCTTACTTTGATATTAAATACAATTTATACAACAAGTTGTTTTTATGAATCATAATAAAGAAAGTCTATAAAGGAGTTACTACAAAACTAATTTGGCAGTGGAATCATCACAATCAAATTTACTGTCGCTAGGGATAAGGCAAATATATTGCGTTAAGACTTAAGTTATTACTCCAAACGACAGGACTCTCCGTGTTCCCTCGGGTTCAATCGAATTAACATCTCAATTAAGCCCCCACATTCACAATCCAATCTTGATTTAACGTTGTTTGGATCGTCCGTCGTCTGTAATGTTCCTCGTTCCTTTTAAGAATGAGATTAACGAGAAACTGTCCAACGCCATCCCGGGTAGTGTCAGAATTAGATGGTAATTCAGCAAGCTACGTGTGCATTACTATAAAGTAGCTTATTGTTAGTCTACAAGACTCTCATAATATTTAGTATTCTGTAAGTCTCAAATTATACAAGAAAGAGTACCATATTATGCATATTATTTATAAAATAGGTACTATGTGGCTTTTTACAATGATAATTTATAACTTCAAATGCAAAAAATATAAAACATAAAACTTTCTGTTTTATGTTATACACTGTATTCTATCTATACATATAATAAAATTGTAACTAAGCCGAATCTGTACATTAAATATTTTTTGGAAAATCTTATTGAAATAGACATTATTATCGATACAGAGGCCGAATCTATAGTTTTTAGAATTTTTGTCTGCGGTCTGTCTGTCTGTCTGTTACCGCATCACAGAAAAACCACTGGAGGGATTTCTGAGAGTATGTACTATTATGTAAAAGTTTAAAATCTTAGAATTTGGTTTTTGGTCATCTGAAGGCGGGCGGAGCCGCGGGCAATGCTAGTATTATAATATATATAATAAAATTGCCTATTTAATCCCACAATTAAGTTTAGAATCTCACAATCTTAGAGTATACATAAATACTCTAAGCTCACAATAGATAAAATAATAGGGCCTTCTTATTCACAAAGTGATGTATTGTAAGTACAAAAATAAACCCTTAAACATTTTTTACTCTATGTTTACTAAACATTTTATTATAATTCAAATATTTTTTTTTTCATATTCGCAGTATTATAATTCAACTAGCATTGCCCGCGGCTCCGCCCGCGTTCAGATGACCAAAAACCAAATTCTTAGGGTTTTATATATTAGTTATGATATGATATTAGTATACTCTTACATTGCAGGTTTTGTATTTTTTCTCAAAAATGAGACATTTCCCCGCGGTAAAAAGTATCCTATATGTTGACCAGGATAACCAGTTATCATCATACCAAATTTCATCAAATCCCTCCAGTAGTTTTTCCGAGATGCGGTGACAGACAGACAGACAGCAAACAAAAATTCTACAAAATATAGATTCAGCCTCTGTATCGATAATAATGTCTATTTCAATAAGATTTTTCAAAAAATATTTAATGTACAGATTCGGCTTAGTTACAATTTTATTATATGTATAGATTCAAAAGTTAGGATGCTAGGTAAATTACCTTCAACCTTAAAAAAACACAAATTGTCATTTATATGTCAAATGTCAATGTCTAATGTGATATTGAATGAAAGTTAAAACTTCGAGGAATTGATTTTATTGTAATAAAATTTATATCTAATCCAGCAGGATGAAATATATAAAATCACCTTATATTTGTAGCCATATTGTATCAATTATTAAACAGACTAATAAATTTCATCTTTTGTACCTTAATTCACGAAATTATTGCGAGTATAAGTCAATTTATGAACGAGATGAAGCAGGTCGTAAGCCGCGTAAAGTACATGGTCAAGAATACCCTGAATGGAGACGACCCTGGGTAGAACGTGAAGGAGAATGGAGTAGCAAGTTATCTCTCTTTGTTGAAAAAAGCCCTAGTATGCATATACTTAACGCTATGCAAAACATCCCTAATTTATCATTTAAAAAAATAAAAGACTGGTGGGCAGAGATGAAAGTCATTCAAGAGATTCAAAATCAAATATATTTAGCTGAAAGGGTAGCAGCTTTAGGCTCTAATTTAGCAGCAGTGCACTTTTTTACATATCGACAAGCAGCTGTGAAGTTAGTAGGATTAAAATATTTTACTATACATATAATCTGTTTACCTTAATAATGTATTTTAAAATTAACATGTATGTTACATATTCCAGGGTGAAGGACAAACCTCAATGGATCCTCGGTGATGTAACCACACTAAACCTGCCAAATTCATATACTGATGGATATTTTGTTGAAGCCATAGATTGCTCAAATTTTCATCACAATGGAATAAGATATGAAGGAATTCAAAATTTAAGTAACTTAAAATATCTGAAGTGGCTCTCTTTAAGAAACAATAAATATGTTGATGTGTGGTGCCTTGACAGAATTGCTGGACTAAATGGAGATACTTTAGAGTTTTTGAATATAGAAGGGTGCAAAATATGTATTGGTTGCATATATGCAATTGCAAGAATGCAAGCACTAAAATTTCTTGTGATCAGTGATCCTGGTGATAATGTAGAACTTCAAGCTGGATTGTCTATGCTTGAGCAAGAAAAACCAAATCTTTTAATTAAAGCTCAAGATACTACAGATGAAATTGTAAAAGAAATCTAGTTAAAGTAGTAAATAATTTATTCAATAAATATGAAATACTGTTTTAATAAATGTTGATTTTAATTTAAGCATTCTATTATTTAACTTGATATTGTATTATTAAATATTTTCAACCTACCTATAAATTTACCTTTTGTAATGATATCAAAATATTTTAATTTTGTCTTTAACGTTAAAGTGAATGTGGTACAAAATTCTTGATAAATAAAATCTCAAGAAATATTTATTTTAATTTTTATCAAAAAATGGTTATTATTCCCTCATTTCATTAAAACTGTAAATTAAGATTGTTACATCAAACATTACCATTGATAAATGCCTCGTTGGCAAAGTAATCTGTGCTCAACTATCACACTCTGAAGTTAACAAAATTCAATTTATAAATGGCTTAAAAAAATTGAAACCAGATTTTTTATATTTAGTATAATAAATAAAAATTAATTACTTCATAATTTTTTCATAATCTTATTCCTAGAGGTCCAATTCAACTAAAAATAAAATAATTTTGCAATAACTTTTAAGGATTTATGTAAATAAAATACAATATGCTGTCGAGGTTTTTATGTTTTAACATAAGTTCATACAATGATCCAATATGCTAGAACAATCTGTCCACATTACTATGGGTTGGTTGTCTACTAAGTGCATACATAGACGTAGCTGGGAAGATAGGGACATTAGGCCTATCAGATCTTTATTCTTCTATATTGTGCTTTAAGTGGGATATAAAAAATCGAGCTATGTCTATGCTTGCGTACAAAGTTTTTACTGTTTTCATTTGATTATGGGTCACTAAATTGCTATTTATTGGTCCATTAGTTGGATTCATAAACATTTAAAAAACTTTCTTATGTCAAGTGATTACTGCAGAAAGGTCATAAGGTCATTTTGTCTAATTCAATCTAGTATATGTTTAAAATTGAACACTTAAATCTAAATAAACCTTCTAAACAAGATATTTACATGATACGACATTTTGACTAAACAATTAGACTAATGCCTTACTTCAAAGAAATAAATAACGAATATGAAATGCTCGCTTAAAATGTCCTTTTGAAACAATATTATATTCTTATTTTAACGTTGTAACTTGTTATACGCAACAAAGTTATCTCAGTCTAAAAGAAACTGCTTATTACACGATGTTTATTGACTGACAAAGCCCAGAGTATCTTCTTTTTTTAATATTGTGAAATAAAGGGATAAAACTGATTGTAAATATAAATATAATTTATAAATGACCAAGTAAAACTAAAGCATAAAGACTCTTTCCGAACTGGTAGTAGTCTGATGACGTTCAGTAAAAAAAATGTAATAATTTTATGCCAAATAAAATAATTTTAAATTTGAAAGACTATCGTAAAAAAAATGTAATAATTTTATGCCAAATAAAATATTTTAAATTTGAAAGACTATCGTTAAAGTAAAGTTTTAAGAACATTTATCAAATGTATCAAAATACAAAAAGCGGTAACAAATTCCGCAGATCGATTCCACCAAACAAATGTTTATAAGCTATATATTACACTAAGTTCTGAAAGTCAATAAGGCACAAGTAATACGCAGTGTTGTGTTTTCATATTTGTTATTAGACTATCACACAAAAAAAATCGCTCAACTCCCATTTAGTCACCAATACCGAAACACACAACTTGAAACTTAAAAATATGGACAATATTAAAGCAAATTGAAACATCCCTACAAACTAGCGATGCCAGGTCTAATTCAAATATATCAAAATTTAAATTTAATTTTTAGTAATGAAATTAGTTTTGTCATTATTAATTATTATTATTCCAAAATGTTAACACTACAAATTAAGAATACATTAAAATACTTAAGACAACTGGCAACACTATAAATGATCACAAGCGAAACATTCAACTAAAGTATATTTTGAATTAAATATTGCAACAAAAATGAAGTACCTAAACGTGTTATTACAAAAATAATGTAGAGAATTCGTTTAATATTATGGAACTGTAAACGGTCTTTGTTAAACATTTTATTCACCATTGCATATTTGAAAAACCATTGAAATGCCAAGAATATAATATGTATATTATTATTTTCTATTGCTAAATAATAGAACAAATCCACAATTTTACTTTTGTAGAATCCGAAAAAGAAGCGTTGAAAAAAGAGTATTATACAAATTAAAAAACAACACAAAATCATTCGAATCGTGTAATGAATAATTTTTACTAAGGGAGTAAGTACTAATGTAAAATTTTCGATGTAGAATTCAAATTAGTTTTAAATTTCAAGCTTTTATTACAAAATAGTCCTCCAATTGAATTTTCACATCAACTGAATCGTATAAAAATATGTGTAAGGGATTTAAATGAGCTTATCGTAACTGACAATCTTATTACATACACTACATTCAGAATCCACCACTCATTGAGTCGTTCGATGTACAATACTAAGTTCGCTCGAAAGTTCGGTCATGGGATCAATTCTATATAATGTGACAAAGTGGACGTACATATAGGATAAAACTTAAGGCACAATTACACTAAGAAAGTTCCTGGCTTCGAATATATATGGAATACAAAAAAGTTGAGCAATGTAAACTGAACCGTATTTAGTACTACATATGAACCATTTTACATCACTTAACTTTTCTTTATTCTTCCAAGTCGCCTTGAACATGAAATGCTCCGTGTAAATGAGCCTTAATTGATAAACTAGGGTAAAAATATCGGGTGATATCTCACTAGAAGAATCTATAATTTTATTATAGCTTCATGACATATTTTAAATAATCGACTAATAATAAATAATGAACATAATAATCCAAGTTGAATGTTAATATAATATTATAGTTAGTGACGACAACTAATTATATATATTTTTAAACTGAGACATTAAATAATTAACAATATAATATGCATTGCAGCTAATAGTTACATATATCATTCCGTTTTCTACTGATTGTCATTTTAAATAAAACTTTTCGGATTTTTTTCAGGGGTTTATTTTCATTTTCTGTTCCCGACATTTCGAATGCAATCATGGTCACAAAAGAGACAACTCAAAATAAATCCGTAAAAAAAATCCGAAGAGCCAGTTTTATTTAAAATGTCAAATAATCGCGTAAATCTAATAAATTATCACGATTGAAATCATTGCAAAATATATAAGAAAAAAAATATATAATGCATATTAAACATAAAAAATATGGTGCTTCCATACTGTTTCATCCTACATAATCAGGGCGTCGTCACACTATAATATAATTAATATAATATACTTGTCATTCATACAAAGGTTTCGTGTCAAATAACCAAACGAGTTTCGCCTATAATGTACGTGCGTTTTAATTGTAATAATAAATTCGTTGGCTTACTATTACAAGGTTCTATGTTAATTTTAATGAAGTTTAGTAATTTTTACATAGAACTTCGTTATTTTGTTATCGTAAAAAAATCAACATAGAAATATGTAAAATTGAATATTTTGTAGTTATAGTGCCGTTATCTAGTGGTTTGTATTTGCAAAACTGTAGCTAATGACACAAAGAAGCTTGTAGCATTCATAACTAAATAAGTACTAAAATTGTAACATAGAACCTTGTAATAGTGAGCCAACGAATTATGTAGAGTGCGTGTTAAACGTGTAACTGGTAACAACGGTATGATTCGATCAACGTGACAACAACGACCAATCGACTACATTGTTAGATTCAAGAAATTACAGAATATATTCAGTTGTAGACATCTGAATTTCTCGTGATCATTTCAATATACCAAACTAAGCTATCAAAGATAGATTTAACAGTGCGAAAATATCTCTTACATTATACTTTTTTTTTTAATAAATTCTCTTTACTTCCGGACTCCTAAAGTAATTAACCTAACGCCAAAGAGATCAATCAATTCAAATACAATTTTGATATACAAACAATCGTGTCCATCGAAAAGTTTTAAACAAAAATTGTATTAGTTTCATCTAAAATAAAAATCATTCTCTAAATAAAAAAAAATTAAAATCTAATTACTTTGAGAGCCAGGAATCCTTATAGCTAAGACGAAATAACTAATATTTACAGTGAGATTGTTAATGTATAAATATTGATTTATTTATCTAATGTCGTTAATGATTTGAGCTGATTTATGTAAACCATGTATTCAAAACGCGATATTACACGACCGATTTAAAAAGTCGTAAATAAGGCTTCGAATTTACTAACCAATTAGTTTCATGTACACATATCCCGAAACACATTGGCGTCAAAACAAATCAAATCGCTTAACTAAAATCACTGTACAGTGTACATAATCGTATATTTAAATAAGTAGATATTTTATATAAAATGAATTTTTAAAACACGTGGAAGACCAACATCACAACATAAATATAAAACGATACAATTTAATGACTTAAAAAATAATTAATATGTCGCACCAAAGTTTTGTAACACCCGCCATATGATACCGCCCCATATATTGCTTTAATTAATTTTGATCAACAGAAACGTATTGCAAGCCCCGTCTTAAAAGTATAACAATATCGTACTGTAAATGCAAATAAAATAAACATCAAAATGTCTACTGATGATAAAATCCTAAGTAAGCGGGCCATATATAAAGCCAACGTATCGTTTAAAAAAAATTGCATACTTTATAAACGTCCATACATAAATACTAATAAGATATTCTTATAATTCCACTATAAAATTACATACAATTAAATGTATTGAGATCGTGCTCATATGAATAATGTGCTAGCTATACTGAAATAACAATCAACTACGCTTTACCATTTATATGAGAACTACTTGATTTTATTTGTTATTTGGACAGATTATTAATCAGTAAAACGCCATATTATGTTTATGTGCAACTCAGAATAATATTAGTAATATAATCTACATTCAAATGTTCTAACACAAAAAAACCTTAAAGCAAATAATTTCATCAACCGATCTAATTGACGAACGCTGGTCAGCGCTAAACTCCAAAATTAAACGTACATTTTGAATAAAAAAGTATACGATAGAAACACTCTTTAAAGCATCCAATTATGAAAAGATATTGAATGTTGTAAAATATATATATATATATATATATATATATATATATATATATAATGTACGAAAATAACGCAATGGAGAGTACACTTAGAATAAATTTTCATATTATCAGGCATTTACAAGCGCCCTCTGGCAATAAGAGTTGAATATGTGGAACATAATTAACAAATGGCATTCAATATGCGAAACTAGAGGGAATCTGGTAATCGAAGCCGTCGTTTTTAAATGAAATACACCTGTATTATTGCACTAGCCGATAGGTAACTTATGACTTATGAGCATTTAGGGAGTTTTAGTTTTTATCAAAATCGATTTAGTCACTACTTTGAACATTTTACGCTAATCCCCATAGGAGCTTTTTAGATTTATATGAAGACTTGACATATTAAACAAAACATTTTTTACGATATTTTTGCAGTTTTATTTTTTTAACACTGCGAAAACCGCGAAAAATTGTTCTATTTATAACTCTCATAAATCCCCCATAGTTCCATATTTCGCCATTTCCACCCATTTCAAAAAATCACTTGTAATTTAAAAAAAAATGAACAAACATACTAACAAAACAATTTCACTGGTACAACTCAAGTCGCCAAAAAGCACCGCCGCCTTCAACTATATAAAAAATCAGATATTATATAAAAAATCAGATAGACCAACCATAAAAACGTAAGAGTTCATGCCAGCTCTACGTACACAATATATGTAAGTCTATGGTAATCATCAAACAAACACTCACCGCCGATACATTTGCACTATCGAACAATTTTTATTCATTTTTTTTTCTCATTTTATTCTTAAAGTATCCATAAAATACCAATCCATCAGTTTTTCAAATGCAACTAGGCATTATAACAATAACCACATCGATACATATCAACTCCATTGCTTTAACTATTAATAGATGACTGTAAATAGAATGGTACAATATTTAGAATTTGACTGGACAAATCATTTAACGATAGTGACCTTAATTTTGATAACAAATCATCACAAATAATAGTTCGAATGACATATCTTAAAAACATGTAGATCATTGCTTATAGCTTATTTTTTATCCATTTTTGTACCAACATTGATCACAACTTAGAACCCTTTAGAAGTACTTGAAAAGTATTATTTTATATCAAAATTAAGATCATTTAACTTATAGCAATAAGTTTAAATTTGTATAATATATGAATAATATTTGTCTGTCATTCACTCTTGTACAACAATGGAGATTATGTATCCGCATCGCTAACTGGCCGTCGACGTCGGCTGCAGCGCGGCGGATACGATTGGAGAGTTCACATCTGGAAAATAACATTTTCATTATATATTTTTGTCTTATGTGTGTATGTTTTTGTGCATTACTCTTTCACGCTGTAATGGCTAAACAGATTTAGATAAAAATTAGTACACAGATTGACTATGACAGAGAGTAAGTCATAGGCTACTCTGTTAGTATAAAATTACATCAGTACTAAAATTACTAATCCAGTATGAATAATTGAATGACTATAAGATTTGACTAATCATATTTGATTTTATTACAATTAGCTTTAATACTTTCTTAGATTTACGCGAATAATTGACATTTTAAATAAAACTATCTGTTGGGAGTCTCTGCCGTAACCATCATTGCTGTAAAGCATTCAAACCGTCGGGACACAAAAATCAAAATAAATCCGCGAAAACATTCGAAAAGATTGTTATTTTAAACGATTAGCCTTTATATAAAAAATTAAAAAATTTTGTGTTTTAGTTTAAATATTTTGCTTATACTAACTAGTCGGCGTGTTGACTTCCGAGTGCGGCGTGAGGTTGGACTGCGCCATGAGCTTCTGCCGGACCTCGCGTATCTTCAACTGGAGCGACATCTTTGTTGGGAATATATCCGTGTGGGCCGCCTGAGTAATAATAATAAATAAGTAATAATAATTAATAAATAATAAAATTGTAACTAAGTCGAATCTGTACATTAAATATTTTTTGGAAAATCTAATTGACATAGGCATTATTATCGATACAGAGTCCGAATCTATAATTTTTAGAATTTTTGTCTCTCTGTTACCGCATCACAGAAAAACCACTGGACAGATTTTGATGAAATTTGGTATGATGATAGCTGGTTATCCGGGTCAACATATAGGATACTTTTTACCGCGGGAAAATATCTTATTTCTGAGAAAAAATACAAAAACTGCATTGTAAGAGTATACTAATATGTGAAACCTAAGAATTTGGTTTTTGGTCATCTGAACGCGGCAATGCTAGTAATAAATAAGAGATAACCTATTACATATATTGTGCACAATGTAATGCATTATTTCTTAATATTTTTTTTCTAAAATTCCTCGGAACAGGAATACTTTTCAAGAACAACAACCCTTCCCGATAAAACAGACCTGCAATTAAATTCTAAAAAAAAAATACCAAAGTAAAATACTTAAACGATCCAATCCGAAAAATCCTTAAGTCCATTTGACATACACCAAAAAAATGGACTTAGCGACTTCTTGAATTGGATTCTAAGTAAAATAGCAATATGAACAAATGAAATTGCGAAGTCACCTGGAAGTGTGTAGTGGCCTGCGTGGTGGGGAACATGCCGTGGTCGTGGAACAGCTTCATGACGAGGCTGCGGCGCTGCTCCAGCACGCGGCGGTGGCCGGCCTCGCCGCGCGCGCCCGCCGCCGCCGAGCACGGCGTGCGCGGCGATATGTCCTCCGCGTCGCTCGCTGGCGGCACACATACAAAGCCAAAGCCATCATACAACTATACTATGCATTCAGCCCTGTTTAACATCCCACTGCTGGGCACGGGCATCCCTTCCATACGAGGGAGATCAGGCCAAAGTAAACCACGCCGGCCAAGTGCGGGTTGGCGGTCTGCACATGTCTTTTAAAAACTTGCTAGGTTCTCTCAGACATGCAGGTTTCCTCGCGATGTTTTCCTTCACCATAAGACAAGTGGTAATCATGTTAGAAATAATTTGCACGTGAAAATATGAAAGATGCGAGACCCGGGATTTGAACCCGCTTTACTTATTTTACAATTTGAGCGGGTTACCACTGGCCTACCACTGCCTTTTATACTAACTACACTTCACATATCACTGTAAATCCGTGACTGGCATGAATATTGATATATCTAAATATCAATTTTACAAGACTGCAATTTTTAAAATTTGACAAGTTTAATTACATCTTATTCGCTAACAACTTTTTTTTCTTGAATGTAGGGTGATGTATCAGTACACTTAAAACCTGATTCTGTAGTAGCTAAGAAACTTCATAATTTAGTTAAAAATAATTGTACTTAATAATCATGTAATAAGTTCATTTAAAGAGTGGTATGGTCGATTTAACGACACAGTAAAAAAAAAATTAAATAAAGAAAAAAAAATACATCAATTTATTTCATAAAATTTCATTATTAATATTATTTATGGGTAATAATAATTTTTTATCATTTGTGTGAAGTATTTGGAACGCAAACTAATGTTACTCTTATGTTGGCAACAAAACAAAAATTGAAATATAATATAAGCTTACGTTGGACACACTTTTTCCATTATTTTATTATTCCTTTGCCTGTCACAGTTAAGATATATGTAACAATAAATACGTATTGTGAATAATAATAAGTTTTATTTCCACTTAAATATCAACAATTTTTAATAAAATTTTTACTATCAATTATCATTGATGCAAAATAAATATTATATTAGCTTACCTCTAACAGACTCAATATTGAAATCTGGTCCGAAGAAAGTATTCCCTACGAGTTTGGTGGTCGTGTGCGGCGTGCCGAACGAGTGAGGCGTCGGCATCCCGTTGCCGTTTATGACCTCGGACTCGAGCTGAGGCGTGACCACTGTAGACTCCTCTTCTATGGAAAAATAATTGTATTAATTAATTATATATATTCTTTATTGCACATTAAAAAAACATAAATTACAAATATTAAGAGAAAATTGAAGGCAAAAGTGGACTTATCTCTAAAAGAGATCTCTTCTAGTCAACCTGGGGGGTGAGAAACATTGTCATTTAGCTGATTTATTAATTATATTATAATAGCGGATTTTTTTATTATATTATAATTTATAATGAATGAAATTGAAAATTAAATATTTTAAAATACAACATTTGTCAAAAAAAGTAAAACCAGATATAATTTACCAAATTGTAATTTTAATTAAAAAAAATTTTTTAAGATGAATAAGGCCACAATCATTGCTATATTATTATTTTAAAGCCGAGTTGTCACGCTCAAAGTCTGCTTTGACAAAGTAGCTTTGATCAAAATTAAAAAGCTTTAAAATGAAGTTCAAGTTGATAAACACGGCTCCCAAGTCCACTTTGAATGCTCGTTTATACGATCAAAGTAGTCATCAAAACTACTGTGTCAAAGTAGAATTTGATCGTTTTAGCGCGGTTTAAAAGAAACTTCATACCTATATTCTGAGACAAAATATATTTTTTTATAATTTAGAATATCCGTTATAAAATTATTTTATTTTAGTTAATAAACAGATCTATATCTTAAAACAATTTAAAATCTATATCTTAAAATAACAAACCTAAGAAAAAACCGAACCTATATACAATTAGAAAGTAATAGTTTATATAATGTACATACCAACAGGTATTTTATAGTGTTTCTTCCTGAGATACATCTGCGGGCTGACGGCGGGCAGCGCGGGCAGCGCGCCGGGGCTGCACGCCTCCGGCTTGAACTGCGGCAGCGTGCTGAACTTCTGCTCGAAGTTCACTGTCTCTAGTACTCTAATGGACAATTATATGTAGTTAACATTCGTGGTATTATTATTATATATTGATGCAATTCGACCGCTAGTGAGATTGTTTTTTTTTTTAATTGAAGATTTTATTTAAAAAAAAACGTGTGTGTATACTTATGTACGCACGTAAGAAGTTATACTTATTTGGCGTAACAGAACAAAAATAGGTAAAGATTTCATCCAGTATGTCACAACTCTCTGTTTGTAAAAGAAATGCAGCTTACTTCAACATGTCGCCTTTTGGCTGTCGGTGTGCGCGCGGATTGTACAAATTATACTCTCTTAATTTTTTCCAAAAGTGCCAAAAGAAGTATAACTTCAAAAACAAATCACACCATAATTTTCACATGAAATTTATGACACTTAATGGTAAAATAAATGCAAATTCGTATGTGTGCATATGTTGTTACTCCTTCACGCGGTATCCAAGAACGCACCCGAGTGAACCCAAAGTAAATCGCTAGTTAAAATTATGAAAAACCCATCTCTTTTTTATATACACAAATCATGTATTCCATTTCATTAACTGTCTTAACAACAAATTTTTCACAAATTATTCACTACCACAAAACCACTATGAAACAAAAACGTCAAAAACCTCAAATATCTTTTGCTACAATCAAAAGCTTTACAAATTGAATAAAGTTTTAACACTCACTTATCCCTTCCATCTTCATTGCCCTTCTTGAACAAACTCTTCTTAAGCGAAGGGCTGGGCAAGTTTTCCATCTTCTTCGGTGAGTGTAGAGCTTCTGCATCGTGAGGCGTGGTGGGACCGCTCTCGGACCGAGGGATAGTGGGTTCGTTACTACCGTTCGAACCTGTTGATGTACCTGTGGGGAAAAAATACAATATTTTTTTATATTTTATGTGGGTTATGTCCCACGAGGGTTATGTCCCAATGCGTGTTGGGAGACTTCACATATCTTTCAACTAGTAAGGTTCTCTCAGTCGCACGATTTTTGCTCTATGGTTTCTTTCCCCGTAAGGCAAGTGATCATCATTTTGAAAATAAATCGCACATGAGAATATTAAGATATACGAGACTCGGGGTTTACTTCGCTTGGTTTACTAAGCGAAGGCGTTACCACTGGGCTACTATTGTCAACCAGTTTATATATATAAAAAAATATGCATATTTATCTGTTTATAACCTATGCACTAATTAATCATTCAACCGATTAGGATGTAACTGACAAACATCGGTTTACGCAAAGTTATGGTGTAATTAGATATTTATTAAAATAAATAAATTAGGTTCAGGTATTAAGTAATTTATATACAAATATATATTTGAGTATGAATGTACCACGTATATAAATAACAATATCTTTTTGGATTTTTTCGCGAATTTATTTGGATTTTTGGTTCCCGACGTTTCGAATGCTTTACAGCAATCATGTTCACGGGAGAGACCATGTAGTTTTAATTAAAAATGTCAAATATTCGCGTAAATCTAAGAAAGTATTATGTATGTACATATATAATTAAAATAATGATAGCTACCTCGACTAAGCCTCTTCTGTAAGGGAGCCCTCCCCAACTGCGCGGGCGTCGGCGCGAGTGGGAACGGTCGTGTCTCCTCTATTGGAGTTTCCCATTGTCTGCATTATAATATAAAAAGAATATTGTTATAAATAAAATAAAGTCTAATTTAAAATTGTAAGAAGGTTGAGCAATATAATATGGATTTATACATAATATACTAGCAGAACCCGCGGCTTCGTTCGCGCTAAAAGTACTAAAACAATTCTAAACTTGTTTTCCCGTGGGCATGAGATAATCTACCGCAGTAAAAAGTAGCCTATGACACTCTCCAGCCCTCCAACTATCTCCACACAAAATCCGTCAATCCGTCACTCTGTGTCGACGTGAAATAAAGACCAACAAACAAATGCACTTTCACAGTTATAATATTAGTATGGATAAAATATATTGAATGGAGAAGAAAACTGGAGTAAGTTGAAGAAGAAGAGTAAAGCTTATAATAATTAACTAAAATATGCACACTTAATACTTACAGACAGATAATATATAATCATTTTTTTTAAATATTTTACTTACAAATTATAAAATGTGCATATTACAATTTTTAAAGTACTTACATATTAGATTTGGGCAATGTGTTGTTGTTGCTTTGTGAAACAATTACAGATGGACCATTTTGTATATTGTGACTTTGATTTTGATTCTGGTTCTGGTTTTTATTGACATCCATTTCTGTTGAAAAGAAAATAAATTTTTTGATTAACAATTTTTACATTAGAAACTCCAAAAAAAACATTATTTCTTCTCTATCACCAAAAACACCATGATGTTCATAAAATTAAATATCATCAAGAGTAACATATAAACATATTACCAGAACTAAAAGGCACGTAAAGCCTCTGCAACTGCACGTAATGTAATGACGCGTCGTTTGATGGATTGTCGTTAGCTTGACTCGCTTTAATTACTAGATTCCCTGACGAGTCCACTGATAGAGTTATTGGGCCTAGAAAAAACAAATTTATATTCTAAGTAAATATATACAATCAAATCATACTACCGTTTATCACTGTCTGTCTGTCTGAACGCGATAAACTAAAAAACTACTGAACGAATTTTCATACGGTTTTCACCAATGGACTGTATGGATGTAAAATTCATTAGTGTTTGGTGTAAATTGGTTGAAATATAACGATGACTATTGAAGATATCGGAAAAAAACATGCAGATTAAGAGCTTTATTGACGTGCTCTGCGTAAACCAAGCTATATAAAAACAATGAATTACGGAATTTTATTTCTTAATATTATTCCTTTTAAAAATATCTCTTAAGCTGTAGCAACGCTACGTACCTATGGAGTAGGGGCAAATCCCAGCGAAGCGATAGCAAGTGACTACATATAGTAAACGCTAAAGTTTTTAAGTTTGTTAGTTAGTCTTCACGTTGGACTAATATGGATAAGGACATAGATAGCCTATCACTTGAAGTAACATAATATAGGCTAAATGTAGGGAGGACTCAATTTTCCGCACTTAAACTCTAAAATGGTCCATCGTGCGTCCATAATATAAACTATTAAACGTAATAAAATTCTGCTACAAGGTGGCGCTACCTGTATATATTATAAATACAAAAGGCATTAAAAGATGCACCCGAGGGAAGGGAAGGTAAATCGCTAGTACAAAAGAAGAAAACATACATATTAACAATTTTCTAAGCTCAGCTAATATATAACAAATAAAAATTACCTGATACATTCTCCCCAATATTCCTCTTAACTAGAGTTAACAGAGCAGACGTGTTTGGTGTTTTCGACTGCGACATAGGTACGTTTTGCGGTATCGATATACCACTCGAGATAACTTGCACACCACTAGTCGATGTGGGACTTATAATCGATGCTATAGCATTATCGAGTGCCGCTTGTGCCGATAGGTTGGGCGTACTGAGGGAAATCCCCTGAACACTGTTAGTTAGGCTTTGTGTGTTAGTTGTTATTGATTGTGAGGGATGAGGCGAGCTGGGCACTTGGTTCACAGGTTTGCTTATTTGTGTGAATGCCGTCCATTGTCGATGGTTTTCTCCTGCAATAAATAAACACGGCTCTAAAATTGTATTTGAAGAAAGCTTATTTCATTTTCCTAAATTTTAAATAAAAATAGGACAAAATATAAGCAAAAAAATCATTGCATTCTTACCTGTGTCAGCATGTGTGGACTTGAAGGCGCCACCCGTAGGCTGGAACACTTTAGAGCCGCCGGGACTCGATGCCGTTATGCCTCCTAGGAGGTTATCAGATGAGCCGGCCCTAGAATATAATATTAGTTTACTATCTTTTTTGAAGTGAAACTTCTTTAGAATTGTTGTGGAAACTCGATGAAACGGAAAAGCAACACTAAAAAGAGACAAACATATAAATATAAAGGATTGAGCCGGCGAGGGAATGAGATAGAATACATTGCTACGCATGGTTTAGCCAATCTAGATAACTTACGCACGAAAACAAATAAAATTTTAATAACAATTTCACCTGGCTTTTATAGCTTTAGGCCGTCTCGTGTGATCATGGTGGGGCAAGTAATCACGAGCTTCCAAACCTTCCGAGTCCGAATCTGTTACTTTTTCCCCACATTTGAGATCAATTTCGATATTCTGGGATTGTGCTGTCGTCTCATCTATAGTTTGACTTATTTGCTGAGAACAGAAATAATTTAAGTTAGTAAACAAACAAAAAACCGATCTCAAAAAATCAGGAGAATTCGCATAACATTTTGAAAAAAATATTTTATTTTTTAATTTAATATTATAAATTGTGTTACAATTGTTGCACTTCTCACCATGGGCTCGTCATCACTAAGTTGCGGTGATCCGACGTGATTATAAGATTGAGTATTCATTGTCATCTCCGTGCCGCTGGTGGGGACGTTAGGGTTCGGCCCTTCAGAGGGAGTGCGTGGGCTCTGAAATTAGATATTATAATAAATTTTAATTTATATTTTATAAATGTTTATTTTTCAAAAGAAACCAGCTTAAATGGTATTTAGAAGGATTTTCTTTCAAAAACCAACTCATGCAATTTACTTTCTTATCAAAACTTATAATTTTACTTGAAAAAAAAACTAACTTGAAAAAAATTCTGTAAGTCTTATATATATTTATTATATTTAATTATTTAATTGGAGATCCTTAATAAATAAATAAATAAATAAATATTAAGCACCTACATTTTTTAAGTTTTTAGTTGTTCTTTTAAATTCAATGAAAATAAATGTTTATCTAATATTAATATGATCACAGTGTGTGTATCTGTTTACCTGAGGCATAGAGCCCGTAGGATCTCGACTGCTGGACGACTTGCGCCTATCCTTGTTGCACCATTTCCATTCTGGGTGAGCCTTGAAGTGGGCCTCTTTCACCTGATTAAGAAGAGTTATAATTAAATAATATAAAATCTACTTCTATTGTCTATAGTTTTTCTTTCTTTTCTCTTTTCACTTAGTTTTGTAAAACTTATAAAAATAAGATTTTATTAGGATAATTGAGACAAAAAAATGCACTTAGATGTGTAATTATTGCGACTACTATAAATAACATGGATGCTTGACTAGGTAAGGTGAGGTGTTCTTGTACTCAGACTTAAGAATTATTTAGATGGAGCCCACCAAAAAGATGTCAAAATCAAAAATAGTAGCGTGATTATGCTGTTTATGCTACTATTATACTCGGTTTTTCCATAGAGATAAATAAATAAATATGTTGGGTATTAACACACAGCACTGGCTAGTTCAATGGTAAGCAACGAGGCTCGTGTTATGGATACTAGATAGTTTATACACTACACATATATAACTTTAAATACATACATATAATAAATATAAACACCCATGATCTGGAGTACAAACATTCGTGCTCATCACACAAATGGAAGCCCCCAGCGGGACTCGAATCCGCATCCGCTGGCACAGCAAGTAGGGTCACTACAAACTGAGCCAAACGTGTCGTCAAAATATATAAACATGTGGTCACCTCGCTGGCCAGCTCGGTGTACTTCTGCTTCTCGTCGTACTTGAGCGAGTACCACCACTCGCCGAGGATCTTGCTGACGGTGCGGTTGTCCTGGTTGGGGTGCATCTGGTGCACCAGCTGGCGGTGACGCTTCGAGAATATCATGAACGCGTTCATTGGACGACGGATGCGACGCTCCTTCTGTTGTACATACGTTTATGGTATTATTTATTTATTTATTTATGTACCAGAAAAAAAAAACATAAAAGTAAAAACAGATACCATGTGTACAAAGGATGACTTATCCTTTAAGAGATCTCTGCCAGAAACCCTCGAGGGTGAGAAAATATGAAAATAATAATGAGGTGCAGTGTAGGTACAAACTACAAACATCAATTATAATATAAATATACAATCATACATACATACATACATACATACAAACATACATGCATACATAGATAACATGTAATTGAATACTATTTTATATAATGGGGAGTGTGTAAATCGTGTGTATTTTTAATTTATTTACGTTGTTATTAATAGTTTTGAAATTCAGAATATAAATAGCTTATATCTTGTTACAGGTTATTTCTTTTTATAGATACTTTGATATTGTTCTATTATATCTATTACGGTATAATAATGCTTAAAGGTATACTACTTTAATATATAGATATATAATTGTTAATATTCAAAAACAGTAGTTTTATATTGTAATAAAATCATTAATTGAAATAAATATCAAACTCCCAGAATCTAAATTCTAAATTACTTTATTATCTTAGCATACCAAAACTTATTTTTTATCCGAGTAACTAATATTAAATAAATTTCAATATTTTTATATAACATATTGATGTGTTAATAATACTAACTTTCTCCTGTCCCGCAGCCGGCTGATTGAGCGAGGAAAGACTTTGCGAGCGTCTATTATTATCTCCTCCTGTGCCGGGGTCTTCACATTCGAACACTTCGTCGTCTTCGTCTGTACACATTGGAGTTACACCATCTACAATCATTTGTGAAAATTTACATATATTATATTCGTTTTTGTCAATTTTATAGATTAAAAATAGTTCATTCAGTATTATTCATTACATATTTTACTGAACATCGTGAGTTCATCAATTCGGTAAGAAAAAGCCTTGGTCTTGAAAAGAATTGGTGAAAGAAAGGGGCGATAAAAAAAAAAAAAAAGAAACTCAGCAAATCATTAATACTTGACACTTTTCTATAATACATTATATTATTATATTATTCCATGTATTATATTATAGAAAACTATCAAGTCAACTATATGATCAGATAAACACATTATGTATGTAAAATTCGAATGGGAATAAAATTATTTTCATGGCTCGATGGCGTGGTTGATCTAATGATGGAGATTCAAGACGGATAGGTGAGATGGACAGTGAAGTTATTTATAATAACTAGCACAGCCTTTGAATTTGTTCTTACTTCATTTTTGAAGTGGATCAAAAATTAGTACCACAGTCTACTAATAGATACAGTGTCGAGCGAAGGCGTCTAGAGAGTGCCATTGTGAAAGCAATAGATTTTTATGCAACAACGTTGCTGTGGTACAACTCACTATTTCCCTCAGTATCGCCCTGATCTTCAGGTTTGACATGCGACGTCGTACGCAGGGTATGGAGGGGAGCGCGGGGAGCATACACCCCATATTTTAAAATCGGTTAAACAGTGCAACTGATCATAATACAACTCACCATTCCCCTCAGTCTTGATCTGGTCCTCGGACTTGATGTGGGGCGTGTGGGGCGTGTGCGGGGTGTGCGGGGTGTGCGGCGTGTGCGGCGTGCGCGGCGTGCGCGGGGAGGGCGGCGCGGGCGGCGCGGCGGGCGGCGGCGACGCGGCGCGGATCAGCGGCACCAGCGAGTGCCACGGGAACACCGCGTTCGTCACTGCACTCGTTGATACTGTTGACGATATTTATTACATTACAATCCATACTAATATTATAAATGCGAAAGTAACTCTGTCTGTCTGTTAGTCTGTCTGTTACCTTTTCACGCTTAATCCACTGAACCGATTTAGACGAAATTTGGTATGGAGATAGTTTGAGATCCTGAAAAGGACATAGGGATAGGTTTTATCACAGAAATCATCCCTTAAGGGCGAAGTGGGAGGTGGAAATTTGTATGGGAATTAATCATTTCTCAAGTAAAGGATACAAAAAGCATCATAGCTACGTATGTATTTATAATCTATCTATTCGATAATAACCGTTAAAACGTATCAGGAACCAATCCGAATGAAGCAAGAGTGAAACGTACCTGGGGACGAACCCGAGCGGAGCGAGGGTGAGTCACTAGTATAATATAATCTATACCATCGGACTACTATTACTAATGCGATAGTTTATATATGTGTATGTGTGTGTGTGTGTGTGTGTGTGTGTGTGTATATATATATATATATATATATATATATATATAAAATTTTAATTTAAAACAAACAAAACAAAAAATCTATCCCATTGGAACCATACATTTTTCCTCATTCAAAAATAACCTATGTGCTATTCCAGACTAAAACCTATCTCTGTGCTAAATTTCATCCAGATCCGTTCAGTCGTTTTGACGTGATTGAGTAACAAACATGCATCCATCCAAACTCTCACATTTATGTTTATGGCATGGGATTTATTTATATCAAACACACACTCACCGATAATAGCCGTATGTGACGGAGCAGGTAACACTGGCAGTAGTTGATTGGGATGCACAATCACGGCACTGTTCACATTATTTACCTGTAATCAAAATTAGTTTTAAAAAACAAAATTTAGGTATATATCAAAATATATCAATCTATTCAAATAAATAAAAAAATAAGATCATTCTTTTATTTTATGCGCTATTAAAAGATTGTATTGACTTAATTAGAAAAAAAGTACTATTAAGCATTACTAAAAAAAATAATCCTAGAAACAAATAAAATAACGTTAAAAATTTAATAATATAACACACAAAAATACATACATGATCGCCATTGTCCATATTACGGTGTTCAGGTTCTGGTTCGTTGTTATTGTTTATTATAGTTTGTTGCGACAACTGATGCTGTTTGTGCTCGACCTGTTAAAAATGTATTAAATTTTATAGTTTCATGAATTTCAATAACATAGAAATATACTTAATAATAATGCAAAATAATGCTCTATATGTAAATGTATATAATATAGTATTCACTTTTTACACAATGGTACGAAATTATTTGTCTTTAAAGCAACGGAGAAACGAATTGAGATTTTCAAAACCATAAAATAATCAAAAAAATAGTATCTTACTTCATTAGGTTAAAATGTTATATGTTTTATAGTAGATAGCAAAATATATCGACAGACTTTACCAACTCACCTGAACAGCATCAGTCGGCTCGTTTTTTAGCAGTACAATTTTCTTCTCCAAACTATTCTGTGGTATAACAAAGAATCGTTTGACCGTGTCCTTCATGTCCGTATCCACCAGCGACACCAAGCGCGCCTGCAACGGCGCCGGCTTCACTATCCTCTTGTCGTCCAAGCGAGCCTCGGAGAGTTCTAACGTCCTGGGCTCCATCAGCCCACGGCTATGATCCTGAGGCATTACATCCTCATCATCGTACTCCGAGACTCGTCTATTGACAAAATTTTCATTGTTAACCGGTGATATCACTTCTGTTCTGTACTGGTCCTGCATGCCATTTCTGCGTAACGGTGTTCTGTATATATCCATATCTATTCCATTAGTGGGCATGCGATGTACAACTAGGTTGTGTGGTATTTCGTCTTTAATCGTATTTGCGATGCTTGTTTGCATGTTTTGATTCATATTGTTTATTATTGATATACTCGAAGGCAAGTTTAGCGATGATTGTATGGTAGTCGGTGTTAAGTTTGATTGCATGCCACTTTGTATGTTCAAACCGGAGGAGTGCAAGCCGATCACGTTGGTCTGACTCGACTGTACGCTGGTAGGACCGTTGCGATTATCCATCTGGAAATCAAGTATTTACTTCTCACTGTTAATCTGTCTATCTATTTTTAAGGCAACAAAGTATTTGAAAAGATAAATTAGATGTCAAGTGAAAATTAAAGTTTTTTATGTGATATATATGTACTTTGATAAGACAAATTCACACATAAATAAATTTAACTCTTTAACTCAAGAATTAATAAAAATATGCTTTTAAAAGTGTATATAATATAATCTTAGTTTTTACGAAAAAAAAAATTATAATTATTAAAAACGTTATAATCTTAATTTTCAACTACAATATATAACAAGGATCATATTCTTATTATAATAAATACCTGGTAATGATAATTATTTGGTGCAGGAGATACTCTTATAACACTGGTGGCAACGCTTCCCACTGGTGAGTTAATTCTTGCAGGCCGAAGTGACTCAGGTCTGTAGGAAAAGTATTATATTTTATTTATCTAATTACCTTCATAGACTCCTTATAAAAACATGCACCTATATTTTTATACAGAATTATTGACTTCTAAATGTCAATTCTATTGGTATTAAATACACATTTGGCTTTACAAAAGTCGAAAAGGTAAGATTTATCTATATATTTATATAAATGTTAGCATAAAAGCTTTGTTTTTGAAATAAAACAGAAAAGAACTCTATTGTAAAGTAACAACAAGTATTGGTAGTTTGAGCAAATAAGCAGCACTAAGACGACGAGGAGAGGAGGAGGGGGGGGGGATCATTAGCGTTCGGCAACCCAGCCAGGCGTGAAGCCAAGACACATAGGTGGGCAGTGTGCCATGCAGGTTGCTCCCGGTACTTTTCTGACAGCAGAGTGGACCGTGGGAGCAGCCTCTTGGTTATGTGGTCTGCTTCGGCAGACAGCTATCGGGCGTACTGGCTTTTCTAGCAAGCGAGTTTCACATGACCTATATGTATACAGGTGGTATACTCGTACGTAAATGGATTCTGCAACATTACAAAAAAAAAGGTAACCTAATAAGATGATGATGGTAATTCGGATGTCGGTCGGGCTGGCGCGGCGGGTGCGGGTGCGGCGGCTGCGGCGACGAGATGGGCACGAACACGTTGCCGCGCAGCACCGGCGACCCGCCCACCGGCGACGCGCCCGGGCTGCCCGACCGCGAGCTGCCCAGCGACACTGTCCACATACAACACATATTATCTATACAGATAAATAAAATTTTAGTGTCTGTTTGTAATGTCAAAATAACAGCGTTTTACTAAATGCATATGAAAATATATACGGTACTTATAAGAAAAACACATTTTTTTTATTTTTGTCTGTCTGTCTGTTTGCTCTGGATAATTTCTGAAACGGCTGGACTGATTTTGCCGGGACTCTGACTGGAAGATAGCTGATGTTATAGGGAGTAACATAGGCTACTTTTAGTCCCTAGATATTAAAATAAATATAGTATGTTATCCTTATCCATCGCGGACTTTTCTGTAGACCTATATAAGATACACAATTCGACCATACATTATTTTGTTATATCTCAGGCATCGTTTTCATTGAAAACTCCCAGACGGCTTATTTTTTCCTACATCTCCAACAAATATCGTTATATTTTATCCAATATATACAAAAACCTAACAAATTATATACTCAAACCTTTCTCTTCGATCACTGTATCTATTAAAAAAAACCGCATCAAAATCCGTTGTGTAGTTTTAAAGATCTAAGCATGCATAGGGACAGACGGAGAGCGGGAAGCGACTTTGTTTTATACTATGTAGTGATGAGGCCAAAACTAACCCAGCATATTGGCCGCCTCCGTCTCGTCGGGGTCGAAGCGCCCCGTCACGCGGTAGCTGGGCGGCGTCGTGTCGGACTCGCGCGACGTCTCGTCGCCCTCCACGCCCGTGCCGCTCGACGACAGCGACTTGCTGCTGCTTCTGTTTAGGGTTATCATTAACATATTATATTTAAATGTCCAAATTATTATTGGTAAACTTATACCTAACGAGCTAATATAGGTTATTTTTTCAGTTATCTTCTTTGGCTTAAAAACAACATTCATCTAATTAGGCACCAATTTTTTGGTGCAAAATAATCTCTGGCTTACCAAAAGTTAAAAAAAAATATATATCTTGGTTTAAAGAAATAATAAAATCTCAAACTTTATGATACACGGACTGATATGTGTAATCTAATCTATTAAAGTACCTTTGCTGTTGCCCGTGCTGGGCCAACGGGGTGTTCGAGGATCGTCCAACCCCTCTGAGAGATAGATGTCTGGAGCAGTAGCCTCTGCGCTGGCTCTCCTTGGTGCAGCCGTCCTTGGAGCAGAGACGTCGCCATTGCTTGCCGTTGTACTTCTTACGTATACCGGACGGCGTGGACACTACATCGCCCTTTTTGTATTTGTGCGGTGTTGCTGCTTGAGATCTGCGTATATAATAAATACAATATATGCGTTATAAAAGTGATATTATACGTTTTCGATACTAATATTACAAAGAGAACAGATTTGTTTGTTTGTTTATATCGAATAGGTTCAGAAACTACTGAACCGATTCAGATGAAATTTTGTAAGAAGATAGTTTAAGGGCCTAGAAAGAACAAAGCATAGTTTTTATTCCGGAAATCATCCTATAAGGAAGTAAAAATGGGGAATGAAATTTTGTATATGGAATCAATCAAGGAACGAACCCGAGCGAAACGAAGGTGAGTCGCTAGTTAGTTATATTTTCAAACTCTCTTGAAATATGTGAGAATGCATTGTGAGATAAATGAAATGAATACATGAACATTTCTTAGTCTAAGTGTACATGAACATAATTAATCGATAATAGACAAAGTTACAGTCTATTTCAAATTATCAATTATTATTTTAACGAAAATCATATACACATCATAAAATGAGAAAAACAATCAATGTCCTGTTATTTTCTTTTAATATTAAAATTATGTCATCGTAAGTCATGAACGTTTACATGTAACTAAGAATAAACAAAAATTCTAATTTCTAAAACATTATTTTATTACTCTAAGTCTTGACAAATAATTAATTTTACTAACTAGATGTCACTACTTATATTATTTTTCCATTAATAATTAATTATAAAGAAACACATCATATAACATCAATTTTTCGACTTTACTCGTTTGCTCGTACGCCATTTTGTTTTAAGTCAGAAAGATACCAAATAATATAGCGTATATAAATTTACATGAGAAACTAACCTTGGAGTAGGCGCTTGAGATCGTGGCGTGAGGCTGCCTTCTATCAAACTGGACGTACTGCCTCGACTTTGAAGACTACTTCGTTTACTGTTGTTACAATCTAAACAAAATAATAAAACTTAGTACACTCAATCAGTCAATAAAATTTCATATTTTTAAAACATGACAATCTATCTGCAGGATAATTTATAATTTATTTTTATAGAATCGTTCAAAAGATGGCTTTCGATATTCTTTTTAACAAAACTTCTTATATTTTTCCTTATTCCCTACATTAAAGCATAACTGTTTGATGTATTACAGATAAGACAGTCAGATTAATTACAACTAAGACTAAATGAGGTGAAAAAATATTATAAACCTACAATGTATTATAATATTATGTCAATTAAAACTAATTGTGTAATCGTAACATTTATCTTGCAATCTGACTGCAGGCAAAGGCAGTGGTAACCACGTGGTAATGGGCTCGCTTCGAAAACCAAGTGAAGAAGCGGGTTCAAATCTCGTACCTCTGATATTCTCAAGCGCGAATGATTTCCAACAAACATGATTACCACTTGCATTACGGTGAAGAAAAACATCGTGAGGAAACCTACGTGTTCTGAGAGAACCTAGTAAAATTTTCGGTAGACCTTTGAAGTCGGCCAACCTGCACTTAGCCAGCGTAGTGGACTATGGTCTGATCCTCTTTGTTTTAAAGGGCGGCCCAGGCCCAGCAGTGGGACATTAAAAAGGGCTGTATACATGACTGCACAAACTATGAAAACTCTAAATAGACTCTAAACACACTTTTTCAAATTTTATATCAGAGTTATAACTTAAAGGTTTTAATTATACCAAAATCTGCCTACAACCTCGCGACACCCACTCAAAATTTCACCAAGTATATTAGAAACTTCATCACTTTCAAAATACATAAACAGATAAACAGATCGAAATACAAATATTTACCTATATGCGACGCATCGCCTGGAAACATAATATTTTCACTGTGTAAATCATCATCACTCTCGCCGTAGTCATCAAACCGCGAGCCGTTAGACAACGCGCCCATCGCCACTTGACCGACCCCCGGCATGGGGGAGGATGTGGCGAAGTGATCACCTCCCATTGTATACTAGGAAATATAAAAATATATAAAATAACAACATCTGTGTGTTAATGAGACAATCTTCATAATCTTCTTGTGTTTTTCGGCTATCGGCCGTTGCCTTAGCACAGACAGACACATATGATAATATGATATCCTCTTTTGCAGAGTCTATCTGCACAGTTTTTGAAATTTTTGAATGCCGCTTTAAATTATATTACTAACTATTCACCACCATACAATAAGTTAAAATTGTCGAAGAGTGTCAGTTTCTCTGAATAAAAACGCCAAAGATGGTTATTGAATTGAAAAATCACGGTCGTAATGTAATAGGCCTCTTAAATCTATCTAACCTGCACATTAGAGACATGGTGCATATTATGCATATGCGACATCAGCGAGGAAGCCTGCGAGCCCGCGTCTTCCAGCTCGTCGGCCCACGGCGGCTGCAGCAGACGGATATCCGCTCGCTTCACTTCCACTATCTCCTTGCATGTGTTCTCGCCATCTGTCACCTTATTTGAAAACAATGAGCATTGAAATATTTTTTTGGGTAAGAGACTGGTTGTTTTGTTGGTTGATCTATACTAATATTATAAAGAGGAAAGATTTTTTTGTTTGTTTGTTTGTACCGAATAAGCTTCGAAACTACAGAACCGCTCTAGATTAAATTTCGTAAGAAGATAGTTTGAGACACTGAGAAAGACATAGGAATGTTTTTGTCCCTTAAGAGGGTGAAAATGAGGATGAAAGTTTGTATCGGGAAGCAACCTACGGACGAACCCGAGCGAAGCGAGGGTGAGTCGCTAGTATTTGAATATAAGGGACTTCATAACACTATTTAATTACCTACAAATTTGCGAATTAATTGTGAATCATTTTTCTAACATGAATCATGATTACCACTTGTCTTACGGTGAATGAAAATATCGTGAGTAAACCTGAATGTCTGAGAGAACCTAGCAAGTTTTCGAAAGACATGTGAAGTCCGCCAACCCGCACTTGGCCAGCGTGGTGGACTATGGCCTGGTCCGTGAGAACCGTGCTCAGGATTTGAAACGTTAAAAAAGACTGAATATAATATATAATATTTAAGATATTTACATTTTGGATATTTTTCAATTATATTGTGGTACCTACTAAAAAGTAATTCATAATATTTGAGTTAATGAAAATTGAAGTGCAAGTTCCTTCTTTTATATTTGTATTTTATTTCAAATTACTAATAAACATTATAATTATACTAATTTCCTAATATCTAGGACTAAAAAAACATAACCTCTTTGTAAGAATACAAATAATATAATACGATAAAGACTTAAGAATGTAATTTATTACTACAGAAAAACCCTAATGGTAGGTACCTATTTGATTCTTGTTAAGAGGAAAAATTATAACCAGGAAAGTCGGTTGGAACTGTTTAACTTGACAATAAAAAGTTTAGAGGCACTTACGTACTGCTAGGAAAATTTTAAATTTAAATTTAAAAATCGGCGAAAATGCTTATATTTCGTATCGCAATTTTAAATATTCAAATAACACAAAATGTTTTATACATTAACCTAACAATCTACATATGTAATAAAATAATAACAAAGCAAAATCTGACCATGTAATATTGTATACACATAACAATAATATAGACCCCTAAACAATAGTTATTAATTTTTTTGTCCGTTTGTGTGTATGTCTGTATAGTGTGTTTTTTTTTTCACGCAAAAAGTACTAAACGGATTTTAGCTAAAATTTGTGTAGTGATAAATAATATTATACAGGTCAACATTTAGGATATCTTCTACTAGAGAAAAATCCTTCATCCTCACGGGAAAATACAATAACTGATTCTGTCGAGTCGTCCTTTGAAATTTACATAGCTAGCGCCGTGGCTAAACAATTAAGAGATTCATCAAAACAATGTAAAAGAAAATCGATTACATAAAAAAAGCATGCAGAAAAGTCCGCAATAGCATGTCTAGCTTCCTAAGGTACATTTGGAATAATTATTTTTATCTTTAACTAGCATTGCCCGCGGCTCCGCCCACGTTCAGATGACTAAAAACCAAATTCTTAGGTTTTACATATTAGTATACTCTTATACTCTTACATTACACTTTTTGTATTTTTTCTCAGAAATAACACATTTTTCCGCGGTAAAAAGTATCCTATATGTTGACCCGGATAACCAGCTACTACCACACCAAATTTCATCAAAATCCCTCCAGTGGTTTTTCCGTGATGCGGTAACAGACAGACAGACTGACAGACAAAAATTCTAAAAACTATAGATTCGGCCTCTGTATCGATAATAATGACTATTTTAATAAGATTTTCGAAAAATACTTAATGTACAGATTCGACTCTGTTAGAATTTCATTTTATGTATAGATGTAAAAGGTACTTGAGGACGCGATTTGCTATTGCCATTAATATTTTGCAATTTGTTGATATCAAACATTCAAAATCACACTTCAGTAATAGATAAGGCATGAATGACAATTTCTTCCGCGTTTGTTTTAATTTGTTAATTAAATATAGTAAATCACCTAGCAAAATATATTTGAATTTTGACAATCCATAATCACATCTAATAGATGAATAGATTACATTATATGATTTATCTATTTAATGTCAATGTTAGCTTTCATCAAAGAATTAACAAAAGAAAATATAAAAATGCACATTGGAACTAAAACAATAATCCTATTATCGAATAAAAGATCGATCTAGTCATATGTTAACATTTGTATTACGAAGATTCTCACAAATGTGATACATACAGTCAGCCCGATCACATCAATTTAGGTCCATAATTTTTGATTAGTTTCACATCCAAAATAATCTTACCTTAACTCGAATCGTGATCGGCGATTTAAGCACTTCAAGCACACGTCCTTCAACGAACACATTTTGCACACTCTCCCGGCTCGGGTCAGTAGTCCTGACAACGCACGCCGACCCAATCAATCCGGACAATAGATTAAAGTGGGGGCTCGCGTTACTTATCACATCATATTTGTTGACACCGAATATATCACTGTACTCGATCGATTCGTTTTCTAGTCCGTCTAGTTCAACTATCACTTTACACCCGTCCGCTTGACGTATCACCCCTGGTATGTACAGACCACGCTGTTTGGCCAACACTCTATGGTCCCGCCATGCTGATAGATCAATGTTTGGGTAATGGATGTAGGGTTTTTGGTCGAGTGGCGACGACCTTTGCACTATCGGCGAAGGCTGTAGAACTGGTTGGTATGTGGGCGGCGTGTATTCCACGGGAAGATGAGCTGATACTGCAACATTTATACAGTTCCTCTCAGCCATGCTGTTGATGCAGTTCCTTTCTATTTCCTCCAGCTCTGAAGGGTCAAATTTACGCTTCTTGGGTAGATTTCGAACTGGCGCCTGCGTGGGTGTCTGTTGCGACGCCTGTGTACTGCTACTGCTCGCAGTGCCGGGATTGGTCGGGTTTGCCATCGTTATATTTGGTGTCGGATTTGTTGTCGACTGGGACAAGCTCACTGTTCCTACACTGCTGATAACTGATGCTGGAATCTAGAAAAATATATAATATATATTATATCGGCATTATACAAAATTATTCTTAAAATATTAATATAAGAAAGAAGAAGCTTTCAATGACAGATGCTTTACTCATAGTGCATACAAAGGCTACGATTACAAATTCGAAAGTTAATATGTGTCTGTGTGTAAATTTTTACTTCTTAACGCTGAAACGGATTGATTAGATTGATAGACGTTAGACGGATCTGGATGAAATTAGATAATTAAAGATAGGTAATTAGTACACGCCAACCCGCACTTGGCCAGCGTGGTGGACTATTGCCTGATCCCCCTCGTATTGAAGGGAGGCCCGTGCCCAGCAGTGGGACGTTAAAAAGGGCTGAATACAATTAGTACACAGATAGACTATGGCCTGTAGTAACACATAAACTAGTGACGCAATAAATTAAATATAATAAATAAATTAAAAAAGAACACTAGTCCTGTTTACACGATTTACTCATAATGCATACAAATATGACAAAAAAACACCTGTCCCTCTTCCAAATCGATAAGGAGTATAATGAAACCCCGTACAAGGTCTAGATCATAAATATTTAATCAAAATCGATGCACTAGGCCAGCATTGATGATGCGGCAATTGTACTTGCCGCACTCGCATCACTAAAAGTGAACTGTAGCAATATTTAACAGGATATTATTACCTGAGTATCTTTTTTCCTTGAATTTAATTTAGTTTTAAATATTATGGTGTCGTTAATTGTGGACTACTATAATTATGAATGCGTAAATTTGTATGTGTGTATGTTTGTTTCTCCTTCACACTATAGACATGTGTATATATGTACATCTTTATATATATAATTCTTCTGTGAGTGTGTATGTCACTGAACTTCTCTCAAACGACTGGACCGATTTTGATGAAATTTTTTGTGTGTGTTCAAGGGGATCTGAGAATGGTTTAGATTCACAATTTGAATAATAATTTTCATCAAAAAAATTATTAAAAAAAGTTTGAAATTTTCAAATTAAAGACGTGTAGACAGGACAACGTCTGTCGGGTCTGCTAGTATACATTATATATACCTGGTGTAACATATTTGCTGCTATTGGGACCCTAGGGACACACTCTAGGATAGGGTAAGTTCCTGGTAATGGTAATTCTTACAATTATATTTAAAAAAAATGTATATAGGTATGTAAGTTTACCTGGTCGTCGATATCCGCAAACACATGCGAATGCGAGCGGTAGTGCGGCCGCGGGACGGAGGGCCCGCCCGCGTGAGCCCGCTGCATCACCGCCTGCCGCTACCACGGGTCACTCATTACGCACGAATACCTGTAATGTTATGTGTTATGTTATCTGTTATGTCCGTCTCAATGGTTAATTTAAATATATAAATACTAGCGACTCAGCCTCGCTTCGCTTGGGTTCGTCCCTAGGTTGATTCTCCATACAAACTTTCATCCCCATTTTCACCCCTTTAAGGGATGATTTCCGGGATAAAAAGTATCCTATGTCCTTCCCCGGGTCTCAAGCTATCTTCTTAAAAATTTCATCCAAATCGGTTTAGTAGATACAGAAATTACCCCCTACAAGGTCACAAACTCACAATTCACAAACTTAACTTCTTTATAATATTAGTAAGTATAGTAAAACATTTTTGGGGAAGTAAAGAAAGTTTGTGTATCTATACCAATATTAGTATAGATATAATATTAGTATAGAAAGTTTGTGACGTTGTAGGGGGTAATCTCTGGATCTACTGAACCAATTTAGGTGAAATTTGATAAGAAGATAGTTTGAGACCCTGGGAAGGCCATAGGATACTTTTTATCCCGGAAATCACCCCTAAATGGGGATGAAAGTTTGTATTGGGAAGCAAATACAAGGAAGTTTAAAATATAATCAGTCGTTACGCACCTTACGATAAAATATAACAAAACAGTACCAGTAGGTAAATTTCGTAATTTGCTATGGTCTTTTAACTTAATACACTACGTAAAAATGTTATATTTGAAACGTAATGTCTGTCTATATATACTGTAGGTACATAATTACTGATTCCATCATTCCACTTAAAATAAAGCCACAATGACTAATACTCTAGTACCATCGCATATTAATAGTAACATATATAATTAATCGGTATAAATAATGCAAATATTACACGAATATCTATACATCTATACATATAATAAAATTATAACTAAGTCGAATCTGTACATTAAATATTTTTTGGAAAATCTAATTGAAATTGACATTATTATCGATACAGAGTCCGAATCTATAGTTTTTAGAATTTTTGTCTGTCTGTCTGTCACCGCATCACGAGAAAACCACTTGACAGATTTTAATGAAATTTGTTACGATAGTAGCTGGTTATCCCAGCCTCCCCCCCCCCCCCAACGTGCGTTCACCTTGTCGTGGTGGGGGGGCTCAGTAGTAGTAGCGAAGCTAAGAAACGCACAGGGAGGTTGCCCACTTCGGTGGGCGGTGGGAGGTGGCCCTCTTCGGGGGGCGGTGTACCTTGCGGGTTGCTCCTGGTACTTCTCTGATAGCAGAGTGGACCTTGGAGCAACCCCATGGTTGTGGTGGTCTGCTTTGGCAGACCTGCCGTCGGGGCGTCGTAGTTGAATGCGTAAACGATCCTGCGACGCCCCATTAAGACGGGGGAAGGTTTTGTTGGGTTTTAGTGGGTAGTACTGGCTGTATTACGCCGGTGAGTCCCACACGTCGTACGTAAATGCATTTCCCAACGTTAAAAAAAAAAAAAAGGTCAACATATAGGATACTTTTTATTGCGGGAATATATCTCATCTCAAAAATCTATACTAAACGTTAAAACTTAACGGTGAGTCGCTAGTTTACTATATACTTATATTTACTATTCTTTTTTAAAAAAAAATTGAGAATGTCAAAACAAATTTATTGTGTGTTTAAAATTTATTTCAAAATATATCGGAAAATACATTAAAACTTTCGAGTAATAGTACCTACAAAAAAAAATTTTTTTTAAAGAAAACGATATCGAATGTGTATAATACAAGACGTGGATGCGATAAACAATAGCATTCCCAAGGAGGGTTGACGTCGGCAGGAGGCCGGTCGTAAAACTTTTGCCATACCCTATCAGCAGTACAGAAGATGTACTGCGCCGACCCCAAGTGAATGGGAAATGGGCAGAGAGTGATGATTATACGAATATTTACTGACTAGTGGTTCTTTAAAATTTTAGATTTTAGGAAACTTTGTTGTCCTTTGAAGAAGTTTTTGTTATTTTTCATCTAGCTAATAAGTGATTTTTACTGTTATTGCATATTTCAATTTAAATCGAAATTAAAAAATCTATTCATTATTTGTATATCCTCATAAGTAACACCAACCTCAATCAACATAGAATTATTGTTTAATTATTTCGTCCTTTTTAAATTATTGTCCTGATTTCGGTTAATATTTTTTCTATATGAATAAGAAATGATTCTGATAAGTAATTTTACTCCAGGTATAAAGTCATCGAAAATTGCAGATTTTAACAACGTATAACATTAGTTATTTTTTCATATTCAATTAGAAGTTCATTTTAACCCTTGACCCAAAAAAGACGGGGTGTTATAAGTTTGACGTGTCTGTGTGTGTATTGTGTCTGTCTGTTTGCGGCATCATAGCTCCCGAACGGATGAACCGATTTTGATTTTGGTTTTTATGTTTTCAAGGTAATGTCTTGAGTGTTCTTAGCTATGTTTGATGAAAATCGGTCCTAGACGATCGGGGTCTTTTTTAATTTTTAATTTATCACTTGTTAATCATGTACATTCTTGAATTAAAAGATTGTGTTATTTTATTGTATTTTACCACCAAAATGTAGTAATCTTAGTAGTTTCGATAAAAGTACAGTTTTGGGAATACTGCTCTATTTAGGTACTACCAGGAAAGTAAATGTATGTCTTCACAAAACCAACGTAGGATGGTGCCACTGACAATTATCGTTCTTGACACTTGATGATTATGACAGCGAGAACAATAAAATTGTAAGTTTGAATAGAATTTTGAACAATACGCTCTAAAGTTTATAATAATCAAACCCGAGTAAAACATTCTGGTGATAAAGACTCTAAAGGACAATCTAGTTAATATTTAACTGACAAGTGATATGGATAGAACATACCCATACATACTACATATATTTTTTTTATATGTGCAGGACAAAAAAATAATAAGTAACATTAAACATTGACAACTTTAATCATCAGTCATAAGATTTAATACCGGTTATTATACGTACTTAAGTAATTACAATTTAAAAATAAATCCACACACCATTTTATGTTTCTAGTTAAAATATAAATAAAATAAAAGTTCTGTTACATCTGCCTTTGCTCTACATATAATAAAATCTAACTAAACCAAATCTGTACATTAAATATTTTTTGGAAAATCTTATTGAAATAGACATTATTATCGATACAGAGGCCGAATTAATAGTTTTTAGTATTTTTGTCTGTCTGTTATCGAATCACAGAAAAACCACAGGAGGGATTTTTATGAAATTTGCTATGGTGATAGCTGGTTATCCAGATCAACATATAGGATACTTTTTACTGCGGAAAAATATCTCATCTCTGAGAAATCTATACTAAACGATAAAACGTAATTAGGGACGAACCCGAGCGGAGCGACGATGAGTCGCTAGTATTTTTATAAAATTAAATATTTTTTGCATACATTTATCATCTCGTGATATCATAGAAGATTCTATTTCATAAAGATTTCTCAGAGACTAGATATTTTCCCGCACTTAAAAGTATCCTATAGGAATATCCTATAGGAAGGAAGGAAAAATAGGAATAATAAATGTTGACCCAGATAACCAGCTATCATCATACCAAATTTCATCAAAATTCCTCCAATGGATTTTCCGTGATGCGGTCACAGACAGACAGACAAAAAAGTTCTTAAAACTATAGATTGGGCCTCTGTATCGATAATAATTTCTATTTCAATAAGATTTTCCAAAAAATATTTAATGTACAATTCGGCTTATATAATATAAATTAATGTATGTCATATTAATACCAGCCAATTCGTAAATAGTACCAATACTATTTGTCTTACTTTCTTTACATATACTCTTAAATAACCATTATATCTTTAAACCCTAGAAATTGTTTTGCGTAATTTTCCTAATATGCCTTATACCTATTATGTTAATGAAATAACAATAAAAGTGTACATGTCATTAGTCATTTGACTACACGTTTGGCTCAGTTTGTAGTGACGTTACTTGCTGTGCTAGCGGTCGCGGGTTCGAGTCCCGCTGGGGGCATTCATTTGTGTGATGAGCACGAGTGTTTGTACTCCAGTCATGGGTGATTATATTTATAATATGTATGTATTTAAAGTTACATATGTGTGTAGTGTATCAACTATCTGGTATCCATAACACAAGCCTCGTAGCTTACCATGGAACTAGATGGTACTGTGTGTTAATGCCCCAACATATTTAAGTATTACAAAAAATACGTATAAGTAGGTACTTGATTAAAATCGAACAAGACAAGTCAGATTTTGTAATTTATTATTAGATACATTTCAAGTTTAAAGGAATAAAATATGGGTTGTTATAGAGAGGAGGGTTGTCACTTGTCAGATGATTATCTTGGTATCGTGCTATCATTACCGACACTGCGACCTAAATAGCGTTATTGCAGAACAAAATTAGTTTCGTTTTGTGATTAATTTAAAAAAAAATCTTGCTTAAACCATACAATTTCTTTTTATGTTTTTTTTTCACTTACCTATACATATAATAAAACAATGGAAATCGGAACTTGAAATAACTATATTTTTGAAAACGATTACTGTAATAGGTATATTGTAAGAATGGGGTCTATAGACCCCAAAACAAATTTTATTAATTTTTTTGTCTGTTTGTTTGCGTTTCACTTAAAAAGTTCATCAACCGATTTTAACTATTTTTTTATCGTGATTTTTTTGACTTATTACTCGGGTCAATATTTAGTATACCTTTTACTACAGGAAAAATCTTTCATTCCCACGGGAAAACAATAGCTGGTGCTGTCGAGTCGTCCGCAATAGCACATGTCTATCTCCTAAGGTACACTCGCAATAACTATTTTTATTTTACAAATCCTCGGGAACCTTATATTTTTTCGAGATAGAAAGTAGCATATGTGTTATTCCAGACCATAATCTATATCTGTGCCAAATTTCATCCAGATCCGATCAGCCGTTCTGGCGTGAAAGAGGAACAAACATTCTACACATAACTCAC